AGAGAGAGGCAGACTCCCTGCTGAGCAGGGAGCCCGATGCGGGACTCGATCCCGGGACTCCAGGATCATGACCTGAGCCGAAGGCAGCCGCTTAACCAACTGAGCCACCCAGGCGCCCCTAAAATTTTTAGTTTTTTTAAAGTTTTATTTATTTAAGGAATTTCTATGCCCAATGTGGGGCTCAAACTCACGACCCGAGATCAACAGTCGCTCACTCCTCTGACCAAGCCCGCGGGGCATCCCTTGTTTGTGCATTTGTTTCCCTGATTTCCACTCTGTTTTCCTTCCTGGCTTCCATGTACTCGGGGTTTAATTCGCACTCGTACTTCCAGCTTCCTGAGGTGACACTTAGACCTCGGTGCAGCCCCCCTCCAGCCTGTTCCTGCAGCTGCAGCCGGTGACCTCCAAGCTTCAATCCAGGCACATCTCTCCTCGCCCTGAGGGTGAAGCGCAGACCGCTCACCCTGCACCGCCTGCCTGAGCTCCCCCAGCTCCTTCCTCCCTCACTCCATCTGGCCACATGGGCCTCCTTGTGAATTCATTTATTCATTATTCATTCAGCAAACTACCATGTGCCAGACCCTCTTCTAGGCAGGGACACAGCAGGGAATGAGCTGGTGCAGGTGACATTCTAGGGAAGGGGACACAAGGAACAAATAAGGAAGCAAATGAAGAAAAGGATCAGGATCATCTCAGGGGCTAAAGTTACGTATGGGCTGAGAAGGAAATACCTAAGGGGGATGTGATGGCTGAGATGCTTTCAGTGATCAGGGAAGGCTTCATGGAGGAGGGGGACATCGGGTCAAAATTACTGATGAGCTTTTTGTAGAGGACACTAAGGCACTGGGCAGGGGGAGAGGTTGCACTGGGGAGTCTCAAGTGTCCCATCCAAGGCAGGTTCAACGTCTCTCCTGCAACCTATGGGAGGCACAGGGGCCGGCGGCCGGGACGGAACACTGCCTCCCTCCGCAGGGCTGGTGGTGGCAGCGCCCAGATCGGGGCTGGGTGTTGCCTAGGGCCCGTGGTAACTGCTCAGTGGAACAGCCTCCCTGTCCACTCCCCGCCGAGCCTCCTGCAGGAATCCACACCCGCTCGCTTCGGGGACAGAGTCAGCGCCCTGCTGTGCCGGCCCGGAGTGCCCGTGCTCCCAGGGACTGGTCACCTCCCCTTTCCAGCCTGTGATGTGATTTAGAGCCATGCTATCTTTAACCCCGGGCTGGGACGCTCTGCTCCCCTCCCTGTAAACACCGCTCAGATGACAGTCCTGGAATCCTGTGGGGGTGGCGGGCCCCAGGCATGCGGGGCCCAAGCTGGAGGCCCCGGACTCCCCAAGGTGGGAGACACTCGCCCGTGAATTCACCCACCCGTCCACTCCCTTGGCACAGGGGCTCCCAGGACCCAGCCATGACTGGCACCGCCCAGGGCTCTGGGAGGTCGGAGACAGGAACGCACTGAGCGGCCGGCCAAGCGGGCAAAATGGGAGGCACTGATCCCAGCTCAGGGAAGATGGGCAGCGGCTCCCACGGGTGGGGGGCTGCATGCGTTCAGCACCTCCACCCTGGGCTCCCAGCCTGCTCAGCTTGTCAGCTCACCTGCCAGGGACTTGTCACCACGTCTGCTGGGTGGCCTTAGGGAGCCGTGGCACCCATCCCTGCATTTCACACAACCCTGCCTTCACTCAGACTGCAGAGGTTTGGGGACACGGGGTGGAGCAGTGCGCACACCGCACTCCCAGCCCACTACGACTGGCTGGGTCAGGGAGCTCTGACCCCAGCTGGCAGAGAGATGCCCTGCATCCTGTGGGCCACCGCCTGGGGACACCCCCCCGCCCCCAGGAACCAGATCCTCTGCCACCGTTCGGCGCAGCGGGATCACCGCTCACCTGGTCTGAGTGGCCTTCATGAGACTGGGGCTGAAATCACAATTCTCAGTTCTAAGCTCGGTGGGGGGGGGGAAAGCATGTGGCCTGGGTGGGCTTTCCTCTGTGGCGAGTCTTCGAACACACCGTAGCCGGCTTCCCCCACTTGCGAAACGGGGAGAACACCTACTTCCCTGAGCTGCCATGAGTGGCCCACAAAGGCACGCAGGATGGAGCCTGGCATACAGCAAGGGCCCAATAAATGCTCTGGCCGGTGTTGTGTCTCCTGAGGCCACTCTTGAGCACCTACTGATTCAACGCCCACTCCTTCAAGGCAACGATGTGTTCACACTACAGGGGGGCGGGCAGACACCCCAGTGAGGCCAGGAGATGAGCAGCAGCCCCCCACCCAACACGCTGCTGGAGGACGGGCCTTCCCCAGCCATGCGGGGGTCCACCCCCCCACACCCCGGCCTGAGGACACACAGCAGGGCTTGGGCCCAGCTAACTGGAGAGAACCAGATCTTCCTCCCCAGACGGAACGGCTCCAGGAAGCCCACCGAAGTCACCCGCAGCCTCTTGCCGCCCCCCCCCCCGATCTCTGGAGGGCCACGCCACCTCTTCTGTGGCAACCCTACCACAAAGCAGGGGTTTGGAGGAGACCAGTGGCTTTCCTGTCTTCCCCCCACCCCCCGCACAGATCAGGCCACTCCCCTGGGGAAACCTGACACAGCAGCCCCAGGACACCCCCAGGAACTCCCCCAGTGAGAGACGGTGGCCTGGGGGCTGGGGTCTCCACTGACCCACACCACAGGCCTCTGCGCTCAGCAGCTGCTGATGGCCCCGTCGGAGGACTTGAGCGTCAGCGCAAAGACTCACAACGTAAACTGCCTCATTGCTTTATTCCGTGCCTTCAAGGGACAGTGACTGTTTCCTGCCTCAACAGGAGGTCAAGCCTGGCCTTGTAAATAAATAATGTCCTAACTAACACTGCAAATCCAAACGAGGCCGAGTTTCCTTGGAGGGGAGGGACACCCAGGGGCCCCACACGGGGCTGTGTTGCGGCCGCCCGCCGAGGCTGCGGGAAAGGTGCGGGGAGGGGAGGACGCCCCTCTCCCGATGTCCCCCTCTCCTGAGCAGCTGCTTCTGTCCCCTTCTACTGTCCCCTGCTTTGCGGCTGGCTGCCGGGGTATGTGCAGGGTCGCTCCAGAGATCGCAAGATCTCGAGGCGGCAGTTTCTCCAGCACGGGCACGAGACCCTGAGGGATGGGAAACCAAGATTCTGCAGTTGGCAACTTGTGGACATTCACCGTCTTACCTGGCTGACTCAGCAGCGTACTTGCAATCTGCTCGGGAACGCCTGGATCCAGGCTTTCAAGCAGCTACAAAAAAAAAAAAAAAAAATGGCTAGAGCCGCTGGGCTGCCCATCACTTGGGATCTGCGAGGCTGAGGCAGCCTGCCGTTTTTGGACTCAGTAATTGTGAGAACCGTACCCAAGCCAGCCACGCTAGTTCTCACTGGGTGGGGGAGAGACGCCACACCAGCTCCCTCAGCATCTGGAAAATGCTTCTCTTGCTAATGAGAACGTCGGGAAGCCCGAGTAGAAGGCAAATGAGTGAAGTTTTAAAAAAAGACGTAGTCACTCTTACTTTTGGGCCCGACGCTGGGGACTTCTACCTGCCTCACCAAATTCTCCACACCGCAAAGCTCACTCCTGATAGCCTTGCCATCTCAGGCACGACGGAAACCTCCCTGTGTGAAATTAACTTCTTAAATCTGACAAAACATTCTTTAAAAAAGAAAAAAATATATGGCAGCAAAACCTCGGGACTCCTGTGCCCCACGTGTAACCTGCCCACTCATGAATCAAGAGAACACCAAACCAACGAAAGCAATGCGAGGAGCAGGCTGCCCAGGGCAGGGAGCCCGGCCCATGGGCTCACAGGCCGTGGTCACGGTGGCGTAGCAGGGAGCGGGGTGCAAGTGTGCTGCTGGAAGAAGGGAGTCAGTCTTGCTTCTCGAGTCTCCAACTTTTGACCTCAGGAGCCCCCGGTCCCGACGCTGCTTTTGGCGGCTGGGTTTCTCTGGCAATGTAGGGGCAGAGAAGCATGGACCCGATTCTCAGCTTCTTCCTGTTGCTGGGAGAGAAAGAAGGCAAAAGCTTCAATTCCTCTGCCTCCAGGCAAGGAGGCGAAATCCTCTGGAACCCAGGCAGATGGGATGCGGGGAAGGGCGTGCATCTTCTCCTGATGAAAGACTGGCCCGTTGGCTGGCCAAAAACAGCTCTTTGAACACACGATCCTGAAGGCTGTGAGCACCAACAACCTGCTAGTTCCTTTCCCCTCCCCGCAGATGTGACGGGGCTGCGGAGGCTAGAGAGCCCTTCTATGTCACGCCACCCAAGGGCTCATGAAGAGAGGGTGAGAGCACGCGTGGGCTCCGCCCCTCCCGGATTCTCCTCTCTCTGAACCCCGTCAGTGTAGCTCAATGAAGGCCTCCAGCTCCTCAGGGATGAAGCCCTTGTAGGGGATCTTGTTCTTGTCCAGGGCGCGGGCTGCAAGGCACTGCAGGGTGACATAGTTGAAGGGCTGAATGGTGCTCTTGGCCAGCAGCTTTTCATCCAGCAGCTCGTAGGCGGTCTTCTTGAAGGCATTGGTGGCATCCATGTGGGCACCCGCTTCGATGAGGGCGTTCATGATCCCGGGGCAGTTGTTCTGGGCCGCTATGTGCAGTGGGGTGTTGTTGTCAAAGTCCCGGCTGTCCGGGTCAGCCCCACAGTCAAGCAGCACCTTGACCACCTGGAGGGAGGGGAATCGGCCCACCGGGTAGCGGCCAACGTTGGTGGTGTCCTTGTCCACGGCCATGTGCAGAGGCGTGAAGCCATTCTTGCCTCGGGGGGCACACTTCAGCAGCCGGTAGACGGTCTGGTGCTTCAGGTGCTCCTGGTCCGGCGTGCACTCCACTTTCTCCAACAGGTAGAGCAGGTGGAGGATGATGGCCAGGGCCTTGGTGAACTGGGCCGAGTCCCCAGGTTCCTTGGGCAGCTGCAGGGCCCTCTCCACTTCCCGCACTCCTTTGCACAGCACCCCCATGAGGTCTGCAAAGCCGATCTGTGTGCCCAGGCTGCCCTTGGCCGCCCGGTCCTGGAGCACATAAGAGAAGAGTTCGGCAAAGGACAGGAAGCTGCTGGCAGTCATGGGGCTCAGGGGCTCCAGGTTGCTCTGCTGCATGTCCAGGGCGTACTTCCACAGGCGGATGCAGCGCTCAAAATTGCCCGAGTCGGCGTACACCGCACCCCGGTAGCGGATGTAATAGGAAGTGTCTGGGTGAGAAGGGCCCAGGATGCGCTCCCGGATCAACAGGGCCTGCATGCGCATCTCATCGGGGTCAGTGATCAGCGCTTCCAGCTCCTCGGTGGTGGTTACCTCCCTGGAATAGTCATAGGCCAGGACCAGCTGCGGGGGCTCTGGCTTGGGCAGATACGCTCCGCCCTGGTGCCGCAGCTCCATAGCCCGTCTCCAGTGCTTCAGGGCCCCGAGCAGATCCCGCTTCTTATCCACATACGTGGCTCCCAGCAACTCTAGAGCTTCCACGGCAGCCTCCCGGCTGGTGGGGCAGCAGCTCTCGTAGGAATCGCTCAGCGGCTCCTCTGGGGAGGAGCCACAGCCGCGGGCCCCCTGCGGCGGCGCGCACCCCGGGCCGGCGGCCGAGGGGCCCTCTCCGGACGGCCCCGGCTGCACCTCCTCGCCGGCAGGCTGCTCCTGGATGAGGTACTCCACGATGTTGGTGTGGCCCGTGACGCTGGCCGCCAGCAGGGGGGTCATGCCGTAGCCGTCGCGCTCCATGCGAGCATTGCACCCCAGCAGCAGCTGCAGGATCTCCAGGCTGCCGGACTCGGCGCAGTCGTGCAGGGCCGTGTTGCCCTTGGCGCTGCGCCGGTTCACCTGGGCGCCCTGCTCCAGCAGGTAGCGGGCGATCTCGCGGTGGCCCTTGTAACAGGAGATCATGAGGCACGTGTGCCCGTGCCGGTTGGCCACCTCCAGGTCGGCCTGGTGCTCGCCCACCAGGTAGCGCACCACCTCCAGGTGCCCGTCAAAGCAGGCGGCGCGCAGGGGCGTCGAGTTGGTGCGCGTGGTGCGGTTCACCGAGGCCCCGCGGCGCAGCAGGCTGCGCACCACGTCCAGGTGGCCGGCGGCCGAGGCGGCCCACAGCGGCGGCGCGCCCTCGATGGTCTCCCCATCGAAGTGCACCGAGCCGCCCGCCTCCACGCTCGCGCCGCACCGGTCCACCAGGTACTCGACCACGTCCAAGTGGCCGTAGCGCGCGGCGATGAGCAGCGGCGTCCCCCCGCCGGCCACCTCGCCCGTCAGCTCGTCCAGCTCCTCCCGGCTCCGGCCGCTGAGCAGCTTCTGAAGCAGCTGCAGCTTGCCGTCGCGGGCGGCGTTGTACACGGCGGTGCGGAGGTCCATGGTCCGGGCTTCCGCCAGGCCATGGGCCGGCCGCCGGGGGACGCGGAGAGCGCGGACTAGCGCCCGGAGGGGCAGGCGGCAACCTTCACCGTCTCCCCCGCCGCCATCTTAGGGGCCTCTCCGGAGGAACAAAATGGCTGCCGCGGCCGGGCGCCGCGGGTGTTGGCGGGTGCGCAGGGAAATGTAGTCCTGGGGGCCGGCCTCCCCCGCAGGACAGAAGAGGAACGGAGAGGGCCAAGACTACCACTCGTAGAAGGACGCGCACAAGCTGAGGCGAACTGGGAGCACGGTGCATGGTGGGGATTGTCGTTCCGACCAAGAGAATTAAGGCCGAAACTGCCAACGCCTGGACTACAATTCCCGTCGCGCAATGCTATCACTATGACCTCTGGGACCCGGGCAAGTTTGGCTACGTACTTCCTGTGGCTCCCTCAGGGCTCCAGCCCACAGGAAGCGCAGGCGCGGGCCGAGAGACTCCATTCCCCGAAAGGCATCGCGAGCAACTCGGAGCCAATCAGGAGCGAGAACGAGGGTTTCGCCGGCCGAAAGGCCCTGTCTCATCTAGGTTTGGCGTGGCCGAGCCGCTGGCCGGCAGGGGGCGCTCGGGAGAGGCGGGAAAGCTGACGGCGCCGGGACATTAGGGGCGCAGGGAGTGCAGGTGGCCCTGGGTTCACAAGTGATAGGATGGGAATTTGAACCCAGCTCCTCCAGCTCCAGACAGAACCTGTGCCCTTAGTCACAGCACGGTAGGTGCCAGCAATCTATGTTATCTTTTATGCCATTGACTGAACTTAGTTTCTACAGTGTTTCTTGTTGCGTAAATGTTATATATTCTCTACAGAAAAAACAAAACAACCCAAAAAACCAAAAACAAGTCAGGAAATGCAGACAAGCAAATGAGAAAAACTGTGAAAACCCTTTCTTTACTACATCCCTAGCCAGAAACAAAACTGTGATTGATCTGCAAACATTTTTTAAAGATTTTTTTTTAAGATTTAATTTATCTATTTGATACAGAGAGAGAGAGAGAGAGCGCGCGCACACAAGCAGGGGGAGCGGCAGGCAGAGGGAGAGGGAGAAGGAGGCTCGCCGCTGAGCAAGGAGCCCGATGGAGGGCTCGATCCCAAGACCCTGGGATCATGACCGAGCCGAAAGCAGACGCTTAACCGACTGAGCCACCCAGGCGCCCCGTAAGATTTTATTTTAGGTAATATCTACACCTAACATGGGGCTCGAACTCACAATCTTGAGATTAAAAGTTGAATGATCCACCAACTGAGCCACCCGGGCGCCCCGACCTATAAACATTTATTCCCTCTTGCATCCTGTTCTGTGCACATGTCTGAATTTCCTTCACTCTTAATTGCCATTAGTTGTTGAAAACAACACTCTGAATTTAATAACAACTCTTCAGGGGCAAACAAACAAACAAAAACCAAAAGAAACACCCACAAAACCGAAAAGCACCCCACACCATGCTAAACATACACATGGCTTTAAGTGAAATATAGTTCAGGTTCCTTTCTGATTCCTGAAACAATAAAACATGGAAAAGTGGTCTTTTGGGGGGATCAAGAAAATACAGGTGTTGGGGTGCCTGGGTGGCTCAGTCGTTAAGCATCTGCCTTCGGCTCGGGTCATGATCCCGGGGTCCTGGGATCGAGCCCTGCATCGGGCTCCCTGCTCGGCGGGAAGCCTGCTTCTCCCTCTCCCACTCCCCCTGCTTGTGTTCCCTCTCTCGCTTTGTCTCTCTCTGTCAAATAAATAAATAAAATTCTTAAAAAAAAAAAAAGAAAATACAGGTGTTACATTACCTGCTTTTTTGCACTTAACATTATAGCTTGAAGATTTTATCATTCATTCAACAGGTGCCACGTTTTATGTAGGCAGACTCCTGCTGGTGGGTATTTATCGGGTGCCCAGTACGTGCCAGGTACCTCTCTGGACATCAGGGGTATGATAGTGAACAAGACAAACAAAAATCTGTGCCTTGGCAGAGCTGATATTCAAATAACATAGATTTTCCGGCAGTACTTTCAGTATAGTATTCCATAGTGTGGAAATGTGCTACGATTTATGTAGGTAATCCCCTGCTATCAAAACCCCCACTAGCTGCATACTTGTAGCCAAATACTTCTGTGCTTTCTTTTCTTTGTTTTTTTAAATTGGGGCACAATGTATGTAACATAAAATTAACCTTTTGACCATTTTTAAATGCACAGCTCAGCGGCATGAAGCACACCCACACTGTTGTACAACCACCCCCACCCTCCGTCTCCAGAACTCTCCATCTCCCCACACGGAGACTCTGTCCCCATGAAGCACAGACTCCCCACCCCCTGCCCCAGCCCTGGCTCGCACCCTCTCCTCTCTGTCTCTGTGGACAGGACTCCTCTGGGGACCTCCTGGGAGTGGGGTCCTGCAGGATGTGTCCTTCTGTGTCTGGCTCCTCTCACTGAGCAAAGTGTCCTCAGGGTCCCTCTGCGTTGTGGCAGGTGTTCAGGACGTCCTAACCCACTTCCTGTCTGTGGATGTGCCTGCTCTGGACATTCACATAAATGGAATCACACACCACGTGGCCTTTTGTGTCTGGTTCTTTCACTGAGCGTCCTGTGCTCGTGGTCCAGCCACACTGCAGATTCAGTCTTCGTTAAGCCACTACAGTTCTGGATTTTCTGACCCACACTGGGGATGCATCCTAACTCACCCACTCTTGGGAGAAAGCCAGAGGCCAGGGAAGAAAGGGCTGAAGTTTGAATGAGATTGAGGGTAACTGATAAGGCAGGACAGCAGAGGAATTTTGGGCGGGGGAGGAATCCAGGATGTGGGAGGAACCGACCGTGGACTCATCTACCCTCTAGAGAGAAGACAGAGAAAAGAATATGGGTATGGGAAAGGGGAGAGATTTGGGGGGGATCCCCAGGGCCCGGAGCTCCCTTAGCTGTGCTCTAGCTCTAGAACAGAGTCAGGACATGCCCACATCAACTTTTGATTTCGCTGGCCCCTGCTCCCAACTGTGGAGGAGGACCTCAGTCTCCCCTCCAGGTTGGGCTGGAACCCCTGTGTACTGGCTTCTAAGAGCTGACTGTTACGGATTTTTGACAACTAGAAGTTAAACCCAGCCAGTACCGAAAATTAAATTATAGGTACCTAAAACTTAACCAATCATGTAAAAAGAAAGTGATAAATACTGGACCCACATCACCTCCTCATTACTACATATTGCTATTAGCCACGCTCTCCAGGGGATTCGTGCCTCCTGCCTTTACATGGTGGAAATGCTAGGTGATGGTGTGGCCCTGCGCATCTCTTCCTAATTTCCTGCTCTGTGACTCCACCCCCCGAAACTGGAGATCATCCGTGGTGGAAGTATCTGTGGTCCGGAAACGGGCTGATGATAAAAATCAGCAACCCTTCCCCTCAAGGCCCCCTGACTTTGCCCTGTCTTTTCCTCCCCACCGCACGCAGACCACTGTGCATCCTAACCCACTACATAATTTATATATTTCAGACGTTATTCTCAGTCTGCCCATTGCAAAGTCGGCTTGGACTAGCAGAGATTTTTGTCGATGGTGCTCAATGCCATGTTTCTAGAACAGTGCCTGGAACACAGCGGGCGCTCCACACGTTATGTGGAATGGATAAAGGGGTCCTTCCAGGAAGCTCATCTTACCCACAGCACCACCCCGCCTGAGAATGATGGCTGATGCCCTGGAGCTAGCACGTTCCACCCTCTCTTTCATTCTGATTTTTGTCTGCCGCCCTCAGGTTCCGGGGAGGCAGCCACGGGAAGACAGAGTGGGGGCCGCTATTTGGCCGTGACTGTGGCCCAGGCCAGGAGACTGCCTCTTTCCCAACCCCTCCGCGTCCGGGGGAGCCTGTTGTCCCGCTACCTGTCCCCGCGCCCCGGCCCAGCTGGCTGCAAACATCGGGCCGCCGTGCGCGCGCACACCTGGGGCGGTCGGCCAGGTGCGCTCCGCGGGCCCAGGTGCGCTCCTTTAGCGCCCCACGCGGCAGGCACGCGGGGGACCGGGCCACCTGCGCGGGGCCGCGCTCCGGGCGCACCAAGCTGGGGGGCTTTCACCCGAGCGCGCCTTAAAAATTTTTTAATGAGAAAATATTTTAAAACATTCAGAAAAATCGCGAAAATAAATATAATAGACCTCAAATAGTAAAAGCCAAAGGTTAGGCGGATTCATTCATTCCGTAAATACTTTATGAGATGACCAGGTGTCAGGCACTGGTTTTAGGAGCTGGGATGCAGCTAGTAGAAAAAAAAAGATAAAAACCTCTTAACTCCAGGGGCGCCTGGGTGGCTGAGTCGGTTGAGCATCTGCCTTCAGCTCAGGTCATGATCTCGGGGCCCTGCTCAGCGGGGAGCCAGCTTCTCTCTCTCACTCTCCTTCTGCGTTTTTTGTTTGTTTGTTTCTCTCTCTCTCAAATAAATAAATAAAATTTGTATATAAAAAAGATTTAAAACCTCTTACTCCAGAATCTGGTGTAAGTGGGGGAGGCTGGTGAGAAATTACATAAATAACGATATTCATTTACTAGTACCATGTTACCGGTTGAATGTCCCCGCCCCCCCCTTCAGATGCTGAAATCCTAACCTAACCTGTGAAAGCAATGGTATTAGGAGGTGGGGCCTCTGGGAGGGGCTTAGGTCATGAGGGTGGAGCCTCCATGAATGGGGATGAGTGCCCTTCGAGGGAAGCCCCAGAGAGCTCCCTGCCCCTTCCTCCCGCGCACGAGAAGTCATCCACGATCCAGGAAGAGGGCCCTCACCCCAACCATGCTGGCACCCTGACTTTGGACTTCCCAGGCTCACAGACTGTAAGAAATAGATATCTGTGGTTTATAAGCTACCCAGACAGACTGCCATAACAAAATATCACAGATGGCGGGGGGTGGGGGGGGGTGGCTTACAACAGAAATGTATTCTGGAGGCTGGAAGTCAAAGATCAAGGTATCAGCAGGGTTGGTGTGTCCTGAGGCCTGACTCCCCGCCCCCCTTCCAGACCAGCCATTCACTAGCTGCCCCTACCCACGGGTAAGGGAAGAAGCCCCCCAGCTGAGACCTGCCCAAATTCCTCACCTGCAGAATTGGT